GATCTAAATACTGAAAATATTACTCAAATCGCGTTAATTCCCGATTTTTGGCGATTTCGAAAAGTTGGCATAAAAATGCGCAATTTCGCCCAAAAGCACTCTCTGCTTCAACAAATCGCAACTTCCAATCTAGAGCAAGCAGACACTTGAAACTTTCACAGTCTATAGAAGACAGTTGACGATCTAAATACTGAAAATATTACTCAAATCGCGTTAATCCCCGATTTTTAGCGACTTCGAAAAGTTGGCATAAAAATGCGCGATTTCGCCCAAAATCACTCTCTGCTTCAAAAAATCGCAACTTCCCATCTAGAGCAAGCAGACACTTGAATCTTTCACAGTCCATAGAAGACAGTTGAGAATCTAAATGCTGAAAATATTACTCAAATCGCGTTAATTCCCGATTTTTGGCGACTTCGAAAAGTTGGCATAAAAATGCGCTATTTCGCCCAAAAGCACTCTCTGCTTCAAAAAATCGCAACTTCCAATCTAGAGCAAGCAGACACTTGAAACTTTCACAGTCTATAGAAGACAGTTGAGGATCTAAATATTGAAAATATTACTCAAATCGCGTTAATCCTCGATTTTTAGCGACTTCGAAAAGTTGGCATAAAAATGCGCGATTTCGCCCAAAAGCACTCTGCTTCAAAAAATCGCAACTTCCAATCTAGAGCAAGCAGACACTTGAAACTTTCACAGTCTATAGAAGACAGTTGAGGATCTAAATGCTGAAAACATTACTCAAATTGCGTTAATTCCCGATTTTTGACGACTTCGAAAAGTTGGCATAAAAATGCGCGATTTCGCCCAAAAGAACTTCCAATCTAGAGCAAGCAGACACTTGAAACTTTCACAGTCTATAGAAGACAGTTGAGGATCTAAATGCTGAAAACATTACTCAAATCGCGTTAATTCCCGATTTTTGGCGACTTCGAAAAGTTGGCATAAAAATGCGCGATTTCGCCCAAAAGAACTGTCTGCTTCAAAAAATCGCAACTTCCAATCTAGATCAAGCAGACACTTGAAACTTTCACAGTCTATAGAAGACAGTTGAGGATCTAAATACTGAAAATATTACTCAAATCGCGTTCATTCCCGATTTTTGGCGACTTCGAAAAGTTGGCATAAAAATGCGCGATTTGGCCAAACAGCACTATTTGCTTCAAAAAATCGCAACTTCCAATCTAGAGCAAGCAGACACTTGAAACTTTCACAGCCTATAGAAGATAGTTGAAGCTCAAAATACCGAAAATATTAGCAGTTTCATCCCCTTTCAGTTTTTTCAATACCCATATAGAACAGTTCGTTCAGTACAAGCATTTAAAAATTCATGAACTGTTCAGAAACCTGAAAACCCTGAATAAAACTGGCTTGAGTTTCCTTCACGATGGTAAAAACCAATCTAACTAGTTGTAGATACGCAACTGAAATGATTTCCCATAACATAGAGGAGGTCATTTAAACCACCATATAAATGAATTATAGAACAACTGCTTATTTGTCATAATTGTAAAATAAAATTCAGATGCAGGATGCGGTTTTTAGAGCATTCGGAAATGCGCCGGCCGTGGGGCACTCGGTCAAGATCGACTTCTCCTTTAATTAACTGAGCAGCAGCTTAGCACTTTAATGACAAACAGTAGTTTGACTTAGATTTTCACCTTTGAAGAGCTTTTTTTCAACATTCCTCTTACGCACGTCGGCTTATCGCTTATAGATCATAAGCTGCTCACCACAATAGTTGTCGTTGAGAAGGAAAACTTCCATCTCTATGTCTCCGTTCGGCATGATTCCTCAAAAGGGAACAGGCACAGGCACAATAAGCACATGAAGATATACAGGAATGAATGAAATGGAAAATCGCAGCATAGCATCAACAGTTCTAGCGAATTGGATATTTTGCTGACTCTTCTGCAATATGCGATTTAATGCACTTTCAGCGATTAATACGGCGTATAACGATAACTTTCAGTTACTTCGCAGTTATTATTATTAATCAGTTATTTCTGGATTTCCTGAAGAATGTGGATAATCACAACTCGCAGGACTTCTAGAAGAGACTTTGCTTTTCCCCATTAAATTGTCGTCAAGTGTCCGCTCAATTGGATCTGGGGATACGAATGTTCAAACTTAATTGATACTTTTGCTCATTAAGAATTTGCGATAAAGTTCCTGATGATGATGACCAACTGAAACTTTCACGATCCATAAAAGCGAGTTGATCACGTCTTATAAAAAAATGTCCGTAGTTTCTCACTAAATTTTGTCTAGAGAAACGAATTTTCTCAACTTCATATTAATTCAACACTTTTCCCCATGAAATATTAAGCACATTTGAATATTTTTTCTGGAACTGATGATGATGATGGTGGTAAGGTGAAACTTTCAGGACCTATAAATGAGACTTTACTCTTTCCAAGGAAATTCTCGTCAAGTTTCCGTCTCAATTTCGCTCGACGAGAGGAATTTTTAGACATAGAGCAACATTTTGTTTGAGAAATTAATCAGTTTCGAAAATTTCCTCTGATGACGCTGACAAATTATAATTATTGGGATTAATTTCTATAAATCCCGGCACTTTCCCCTTTAAAATAAAATATCCTCAAGTTTCCCACTCAACTTGACTAGGAAATACGAACTGAGATTGACCATTTGACGCATGGAAACAGGAAAATTCACAACAAAATTTTCCGCTTAAATTGCTGTTAATAGACAAAGATTAAAACTTGAGGACAGTTGAGGATCTAAATACTGAAAATATTACTCAAATCGCGTTAATCCCTGACTTTTGGCAACTTCGAAAAGTTGGCATAAAAATGGGCGTTTTCGCCCAAAAGCACTCTTTGCTTCAAAAAATCGCAACTTCCCATCTAACGCAAGCAAACACTTGAAACTTTTACGGTCCATAGAAGACAGATGAAGCTCAAATTACTGAAAATATTACTCAAATCGCGTTAACCCCTGATTTTTGGCGACTTCGATAAGCTGGCATAAAAATGGGCGTTTTCGCTCAAAAACACCATTTGCTTCAAAAAATCCCAACTTCCAATCTAGACCAAGCAGACACTTGAAACTTTTACAGTCCATAGAAGACAGTTGAGGCTCAAAATAGTGACAACATTACTCCAATCGTGTTAATCCCTGATTTTTGGCGACTTCGAAAAGTTGGCATAAAAATGGGCGTTTTAGCCCAAAAGCGCTCTTTGCTTCAAACAATCGCAACTTCCAATCTAGAGCAAGCAGACACCTGAAACTTTTACAGTCTCTAGAAATCAGTTGAGGCTCAAAATACGGAAAGTTTTACCCAAATTGCCTTAATCCATGATTTTTGGCGACTTTGAAAAGCTGGCATAAAAATGCGCGTTTTCGCCCAAAAGCACTCTTTGCCTCAAAAAATCTCAACTTCCAATCTAGCGCAAGCAGACACCTGAAACTTTCACAGTCCATAGAAGACAGTTGAGAATCTAAATACTGAAAATATTACTTAAACCGCGTTAATCCCTGATTTTTGGCGACTCCGAAAAGTTGGCATAAAAATGCGCGTTTTCGCCCAAAAGCACTATTTGTCTCAAAAAATCTCAATTTCTAATCTAGCGCAAGCAGACACTTGAAACTTTCACAGTCCATAGAAGACAGTTGAGAATCTAAATACTGAAAATATTACTTAAACCGCGTTAATGCCTGATTTTTGGCGACCACTCTTTGCTTCAAAAAATCGCAAGTTCCAATCTAGAGCAAGCAAGTTTCCCAGTGAACTTGACTCGGAAATACGAACTTTCAAACTTAGATCGACCCTTTCACGCATGGAAAAATGAACAAAACGAAAAATGTCCGGTTAAATTGCTGTTAATTACAAAGATTAAAACTTTAATGTGCGTAATTCAACAAAAAACCCGCATTCAGGCTCATTAAATCCGTTTCAAAGTGAACCAGTTCTCGATCTGATCAAGTGCATTTTGGTAGTTCGTATGTGTGATCTTGCCGGAATGTCCGCTAAAGGTGTTTTTCCCAGCTCTGTGAAAATGCACTCGTCTGACCCTATTATCCAAAACGCATCGAAAAATCGTAATTAATCCGGAATTCTCGCATAAAGAGTGTCGTTACTCGCACAATCAATATATGCAATATTCGGGGACAATGTCGAGTTGATTGTCTTAGGAAGAGAAACCGAAGGGGAATGGCGGCCAATTACTTCAGTCTTATCTAGAGCGTAAGTCCAAACGCGAATATCCAAAGGAAGCCAAAGAAACGTAAGCCAATTAGGATTGCCTTTACGGATCGCTGAAATCCTCGAAGTCAATTACGCATTTATATACGAGTACTAATGGAGATTCACATTGAAGTGCTTGTTTTAACTGTATCTAAAAATTATGAAGAGTGCTCAAAGACTTTAAACTGTACATCACAAGAAGCAAAGTTTGTTGCGGGAAGATGATAATAATGCACAAAATATTACACTTCTAATGAGCTTCAATGTATGTCCGGACCAGAACCGGACGTGTTAGAAAGAGGCGGCGATTCAGTGCTAAAACGGTCGTCTTACTCTAGCGTCTTTATTCCTTTTTCAATAGATGCATTTGCTCATTTGCCTTGTTCCACTCAGGCACAAGATTCGGCAAAAGTGCCGGAATGTAACCATAGAGGGGTGCACCCGGTTAAATTATTGTTGGGACAATTTCAAATGAAAAACTTTGCAACGTAAATAAATCCTGAACAAAATTACGCCGATGGGAAAATCAAAATGAAACTCATAAATTCCAGGCAATCCAGTCAAATAACCGGGAAATGGTAGATCATCAATTCTAATGTGGATTGTTTACAAAGCGCAGGACGACGGAAACCGGATTCCCAGAGCCGGAAAATGAGAAGCCCCGCAAAGTTATTTTAAAGTTGGAGAAAGCGAAAGAAAGAATCGTAAAAATGCGGGCAAATTCGGAGCCAAGAGTGTCGCGTGCTTAATTCCAGCTCATTCTTTCCACAGTTTCTTCACTTGAAGACCAACCGTTTGGGGTTTGATTGGAAACATATTTTTCAGCGGTGCGGCGATAATTTCTGGTAAGTTTTGAGGGAACGACATTCAGTGCATAATGGAAACCGTATTAAAGACTGAGCCTTAACGTAATTAAACCAACTTCGCTAAACCAGGTTTTGCTTAAAGTGAACTTGCAATTGTAGTTAACTTTTTCATCCGAAGTTCAAAAAGTCGCCTTCATTAACACTCCAAATGTTTCCCCAATAAAACAAGCATTCTAATTGAGCGACCCCCATTCCAAACAATGTTCTCCAACTTTCCATTATGATCACGAGGGCCGCTCATGTACAATGGAAGCCGTATTACGCTCTGAACCCTTCGTTAATTAAAAGGTCAATCAAACTTCGCTTTGAACAATCCGCTGGTTTTCCCCCATTGTGTAAAATGGGCGGTCGAAGTTGAGAATGTCGGAAAAACTGCACCAATACCAAGGATGTCTTGGGCGATTGCACGATCACAGAGACCGGGTGCGGGAGAAATACCTTTCGTGGAAAGCGGATAATCCCGATGGAGTTCTGCAGTGGTTCAAACGAAAATTTACAGGCGCCCACAGCGATGTGGAGGAGCAAAAGCTGCACCCGGATTACTCGCATATCTTTCGGTAAGTGGCGGTTTTCTCTAAACGTTCAACTGGAATAACGCATCTGCAGGCGAAAAACCAGACGAGAGTTGGTGCGGATCTCGGCAGCAGTGATGGGCATCGAGTTCTCCTATGCGGCCGAAACAGCCTTCGTCTCGCCCACATTACTCCAAATAGGGGTTGAACATCAACACATGACTCTTGTGTGGGCTTTATCACCACTGGTCGGCTTCTTCCTCACACCCATCTTGGGCTCTTTGAGCGACAGGTGCCACTTAGAGTTTGGTAGACGACGACCTTTTATAATGGCCATGTCTTTGGGCGTTCTAATTGGTTAGGCCTCAAATTTCCTCCTTCCAGTCAAAGTCACGTGAGCCTGTGTGGAATTTCAGGATTGATTTTGGTTCCCAATGGAGAACTGTTGGGATACTTGATGGGCGACCAACGCGCTCTAAACCAAGAAACCCAAGATCGTTTAATGCGCCAACCCCTTGGGCCCCGGCTGTGGGCAAACTCCAAATCACTAAACTCTTCCTTTGCTGCCAATCAAACGGAAGATTTCCTCGCGGGTGAAAGCAACAACAGTTCCCATCCATGGGGAGTGTTTTTCACCATTCTCGGGACTGTTTTGCTGGACTTTGATGCTGATGCCTGCCAGAGCCCCGCTAGGGCTTTCCTGCTGGACGTCACAACGTCAGGTATGATTTATTCAAAGTGGAAGTTGCGGCCCTGGACTGATTGAGTGTTGCAGATGATCACGCTCGTGGTTTGAGCACCTTCACCATCATGGCAGGACTGGGCGGGTTTATGGGCTACGCCTTGGGCGGAATCAACTGGGATGTCACCTTCTTAGGTAACACTTCTGGTATATTCTTAATTTAACAGTTAACATGGCGCGGTGTGAATGGATTGGAATGCGTTATCGCGTCGTTATTCTGAGGGTTTCGCTCAAAAGCATTCGTTGCTTCAAAAAATCGCAACTTCCCATCTAGAGCAAGCAGACACTTGAAACTTTCACAATCCATAGAAGAGAGTTGAGGATCAAAATACTGAAAATATTACTCAAATCGCCTTAATCCCTGATTTTTGGCGACTTCGAAAATTTGGCATAAAAATGCGCGATTTTGCCCAAAAGCACTCTTTGCTTCAGAAAATCGCAACTTCCAATCTAGAGCAAGCAGAGACTTGAAACTTTCACAGTCCATAGAAGACAGTTGAGGATCTAAATACTGATAATATTACTCAAATCTCGTTAATCCCCGATTTTTTGCGATTTCGAAAAATTGGCATAAAAATGCGCGATTTTGCCCAAAAGCACTCTTTGCTTCAGAAAATCGCAACTTCCAATCTAGAGCAAGCAGACACTTGAAACTTTCACAGTCCATAGAAGACAGTTGAGGATCTAAATACTGAAAATATTACTCAAATCGCGTTTATCCCCGATTTTTCGCGACTTCAAAAAGTTGGCATAAAAATTCTCGATTTCGCCCAAAAGCACTCTCTGCTTCAAAAAATCGCAACTTCCAATCTAGAGCAAGCAGACCCTTGAAACTTTCACAGTCCATAGAAGACAGTTGAGGATCTAAATACTGAAAATATTACTCAAATCGCGTTTATCCCCGATTTTTCGCGACTTCAAAAAGTTGGCATAAAAATGCTCAATTTCGCCCAAAAGCACTCTCTGCTTCAAAAAATCGCAACTTCCAATCTAGAGCAAGCAGACACTTGAAACTTTCACAATCCATAGCAGAGAGTTGAGGATCAAAATACTGAAAATATTACTCAAATCGCGTTAATTCCTGATTTTTGGCGACTTCAAAAAGTTGCCATAAAATGGGCGTTTTCGCCCAAAAGCATTCTCTGCTTCAAAAAATCGCAGCTTCCAATCTAGAGCAAGCAGACACTTGAAATTTTCACAGTCCATAGAAGACAGTTGAGGATCTAAATACTGAAAATATTACTCAAATCGCGTTAATTCCCGATTTTTGGCGACTTTCAAAAGTTGGCACAAAAATGCTTGATTTCGCCCAAACGCACTCTTTGCTTCAACAAATCGCAACTTCCCATCTAGAGCAAGCAGACACTTGAAACTTTCACAGTCCATAGAAGACAGTTGAGGATCAAAATACTGAAAATATTACTCAAATCGCTTTAATCCCCGATTTTTGGCGACTCCGAAAAGTTGGCATAAAAATGCGCAATTTCGCCCAAAAGCACTCTTTGCTTCAAAAAATCGCAACTTTCCATCTAGAGCAAGCAGACACTTGAAACTTTCACAGTCCATAGAAGACAGTTGAGAATCTAAATACTGAAAATATAACTCAAATCGCGTTAATCCCCGATTTTTGGCGTCTTCGAAAATTTGGCATAAAATGGGCGTTTTCGACCAAAAGCATTCTCTGCTTCAAAAAATCGCAACTTCCAATCTAGAGCAAGCAGACACTTAAAACTTTCACAATCCATAGAAGAGAGTTGAGGATCAAAATACTGAAAATATTACTCAAATCGCCTCAATCCCTGATTTTTGGCGACTCCGAAAAGTTGGCATAAAAATGCGCAATTTCGCCCAAAAGCACTCTTTGCTTCAAAAAATCGCAACTTCCCATCTAGAGCAAGCAGACACTTGAAACTTTCACAGTCCATAGAAGACAGTAGAGACTCCAAATACTAAGAATATTACTCAAATCGCGTCAATCCCTGATTTTTGGCGACTTCGAAAATTTGGCATAAAAATGCGCGTTTTCGCCCAAAAGCACTCTTTGCCTCAAAAAATCTTAACTTCCAATCTAGCGCAAGCAGACACCTGAAACTTTCACAGTCCATAGAAGACAGTTGAGGATCAAAATACTAAAAATATTACTCAAATGGCGTTAATCCCTGATTTTTTGGCGACTTCGAAAAGTTGGCATAAAAATGGGCGTTTTCGTCCAAAGCACTCTCTGCTTCAAAAAATCGCAACTTCCAATCTAGAGCAAGCAGACACTTGAAACTTTCACAGTCCATAGAAGACAGTTGAAGCTCAAAACACTGGAAATATTAGTCAAATCGCCTCTTTTCTGCTTTAGGCGAGCTATTAGGAGGACACGTGCGAGCGGTGTTCACTCTAATCACCATAATCTTCCTAGTGTGCGTCTCCTACACAATAAGCAGCTTCAGAGAAATGCCTCTGGGCTTTCTGGAGTTGCATAAACCCATGGACCGAACTCCTGACGCCGGAGTGGTTAACAAAAGCTTCGATAGCGGAGAGGAGAGTGCTGAGAGGAATTATGGTTCCGTGGGCGAAGCCACTGTAAGCATTTACCAGCATTTAGCGAAGAAGGTGAATAAAAGCTGATGTTTCTAGAGTGGAGGTTCGCAAAGGAAACAGAGCATAGCTCCAGATCCAAAGGCTTCGCTCCGGATCTACCTGCAGAGCATCGTCTACATGCCCCATTCCATCAGGATGCTGTGCTTGACAAACTTGTTTTGTTGGATGGCTCACGTTTGTTATTCGCTGTATTTTACGGATTTTGTTGGAGAAGCGGTTTTTGGGGGCGATCCGACGGTCAGTTCTTAATCAAGTTTAAGTGCGTTTGAACATTCACAAATGGGTGTTTGGGATTATTTCCAGGCTCCAAATGGTTCACAATCACGAGCCAAATACGAAGCGGGCGTGAGGTTTGGCTGTTGGGGCATGTCCTTGTACAGCTTGTCCTGCGCTTGTTATTCCACATTTATCGAAAAGTTGATATCGAAATTCGGGTGAGAAGTTTTCGGGGCGATTTTGGACAAAGTTTTTATTGTAGTTTCCAGAGCCAGGAAAGTGTACGTGGGCGGTTTGCTCACTTACTCCACCGGAATGCTCCTGATGGCCCTGACGAAGAACAAAATCGGAGTCATCCTGTTTAGTGGCACCGCTGGCGTCATGTACTCAACTTTGTTCACGATGCCATACTTGATCATTGCCCATTACCATGCCAGAGGAGTGGTGAGTGTTGGGCCCATCAGCTAGCAGGAAGCCTGGCAATGCAGCCAACAACATTTTGTTCCAGTTTGAAGTGAACCAAGAGGGCGAAAGCCAGATTTCCAGCCAGATTCGCGGTCTAGGAACCGATGTTGCTATTGTTTCCAGCATGGTTTTTCTGGCGCAGTTTGTGCTCTCCATCTGCATGGGCACCATTGTGAACCTATCCGGAACCACGACGGCTGTGGTTGGAGTGGCCACCGTTTTGGCCTTTTTTGGCGCGATCGCAGCCACCAGAATTATGTACTTGGATCTCTAAAGTGAGCAAATGTAGTCATGTTATTGAATAAATCAGTTATTCCAGTTGAAATTCATCGTTGACGCATTTAAGAAGGCAAACAGAGTGAAAGTGTGCATAATATTCTTATGTTTCCTGTTTTGGCGACTTCGAAAAGTTGGCATAAAATGGGCGTTTTCGCCAAAATTCACTCTTTGCTTCAAAAAATCGCAACTTTCAATCTAGAGCAAGCAGACACTTGAAACTTTCACAGTCCATAGAAGACAGTTGAGGATCAAAATACTGAAAATATTACTCAAATCGCTTTAATACCCGATTTTGGGCGACTTCGAAAAGTTGGCATAAAATGGGCGTTTTCGCCCAAAAGCATTCTCTGCTTCAAAAAATCGCAACTTCCAATCTAGAGCAAGCAGACACTTGAAACTTTCACAGTCTATAGAAGACAGTTGAGGATCTCAATACTGAAAATATTACTCAAATCGCGTTAATTCCCGATTTTTAGCGACTTCGAAAAGTTGGCATAAAAATGCGCAATTTCGCCAAACAGCACTATTTGCTTCAAAAAATCGCAACTTCCCATCTACAGCAAGCAGACACTTGAAACTTTCACAGTCCAGAGAAGGCAGTTGAGGATCAAAATACTGAAAATATTACTCAAATCACGTTAATCCCCTATTTTAAGCGACTTCGAAAAGTTGGCATACAAATGCGCGATTTCGCCCAAAAGCACTCTCTGCTTAAAAAAATCGCAACTTCCAATCTAGAGCAAGCAGACACTTGAAACTTTCACAGTCCATAGAAGACAGTCGAGGATCAAAATACTGAAAATATTACTCAAATC